GTCGTGGCTTTGACAAAAAATCCCACGACTGCTACATCCTGTCGGACGCTGAATATGAGCTGCCGACAACAGGGAAATCAAACACCCAGAGGAGATGACGGGCGCGGACGACCCGTCGGATGACTCCGACGACGGGGGTGACTCTGTTGACCAGGTCTGCCAACGACGGCAAGGGAGGCCGCCCCACCCGCAAGGGACAAGCGTCGCGAGGCACTACCCCTAAGACGGCAAAAACGGGCCGGCGAATCCGGTGATCCCCTGGACCTGGTTTCAGAAAGTACGTTTGTCCCAAACAGCCTCCTTTTGCACTGCTGTTGTTGGGGGTGTACCGTCTGCAATTTTTCAGCAAGGCGACATCGACGTGATCGAGTACGTGGAGGCGTACATGGAGGTGCTGACCGCTCTGGGGGATGCGGAGAACGATCTCTACTCCGCCAACTTCGCGGACTACTCGGGGGGAGGCGGCACCAAGGTCAGTGCAGCGAGAGCCAAAAAACGGTGCTTGTAGGTCATGATCTACATGTATTGAGATAGAACACGATCCGTGTTTGGCGCTGCCGTTGGGGGGAAGGAGGGTTGTTTGCTTTATTTCTCCATCCTGTTGGCTATCGAACTGCCCCTGTGTACGCACTCTCAGTGGCTTTTTGAGACACAATGCGGGAGATTTTCTCGGAACACGCTAGGAGCTCACGGACAGGACTGACATTTCATTGTACTTCCAACCAACCCATTCAAATCGCGGCGGCTGACGTCGTGGAAGCCCTTGTGGACACACGCGGTAGTATTGGAGGTTACCTTGGTCGTTGTCATCTGCAGGTGCTGCACCCTGTAGTATCATGCAAGCCTCTCCGTGTTCGTTGAACGCGTCGCTTGTGTTTCGCGTCGCTCAATCTCGACGATCTTCTTTTGCCTTGCCGCGCGTGCTTTTGACTTCGGGTGTTTGTTTCTGGTCATATCAAACAGGGGAGCCAATTCATCGCCAAAGCGAACAAGAGTCTAAAGATCGCAAAGGACGAGTTTAAGGAAGTCAACAAGATCCTGGGCATCTGACGTGTTCGATGGGAAGGCGAAGGAACTTGGAAGACGATTCTACATGTACTCATAGAGGATTCCGCGCAAATGGAGAACTGGCGCAGCACGCAAATCGGTAGCTTTTGGCAAACGTTTTATATATTACAACTTTCATGATGATGTGGTACGATTTTCGCGGAAAACTTGATTTTTTTTCCTCCGTGGAAAAGGGAAAGCGATGAATATTTGATCTTGTGTTTGTTCACCCGCTTGTACTTGTATGTTTTAGTGTGCTGTTGGCATAGATTGGCTGTGTGCGGGAGTAGGCGATGATACGCTCTCTCGCACAGACCAACACAGCGCAACGTGATGGTGCTGACGGGTATGATACGGCGCGCCGCTTGAGAGAAGTGGCGGGCAGCCCTTGTTGTTCTTCGATGTATGTCTGTCTCCTTTTTTATTTACGTATTGCGAACCGTGTGGGGAGTAAAAAGTGGTTTGGGTGTAAGGCACACGTTGCGGAGGAAGAGAAGAGTGTAGGCACACGTTGCGAAGGAAGAGAAGAGTGTAGGCACACGTTGCGAAGGAAGAGAAGAGTGCGACAAGGCAGACAGGGAGCGGAAGGCGACGTTGCCTGTCATGAACTTGGATTTACCGCACGGATGACCTCCAAACTTGAAGCTGGAGGTTTGCATGTTGCTCTGGATGTGGGAAGTGAAGAGTTTTTCAAAATTGTGACCTCGGCTTTTGAGATGATTTCTTGTTCGTGACCTTGCCGGCAGAAAATTAGATGGGACGCTTTTCTTGTACGGGGGGGTGTTGAAGGGTGTCGGGAAGTGGAAATGTGATGTTCGATAATTTGTTCCAACCAACCAAACGAGAACCCCTGCTTTGTTTTTCTCGTGTCGAAGGGGGATTCTCTTGTCCGTGCCTTGCGGGGCGATTTGATCCGAAGCTTACGCTGGTGGTGTCGGAAAGTCTCCCGTCACGCGGCTAAAGTTTTTCCCTTGTGGCCATCACGTCTGCAGCGTAAGGAGAACATGAAATCTATTGTCATGTCCACAGCAGTCGTGACGACGGGCCCCCCTTGTACGCACTCTCGGAGCACCACTTCCTCTGCTTGCTTCTTCCTAGACAAATAATTGGTTACATTTCGTTGCGGACAATCTCCAAGTGGAGCAGAAAATTCCCGGCATGAAGCACGCCTCCATGATGACTCGTACACAACTTATTTCTACGATTTCGACCTCCCATTGGGTTCAACCACAATCGTGTCCGCCACCTCTTAGTTCTTCCCCGTGCTTTGAGACACACACGTCGAACCCCCTTCGGCCGTGTGCTCGGCATGGAAAACGAAGGTGATTTGTGGGCATCTTCCTTTCTTCAAAGACCACCGTTCTCCTTGCCGACACCACCACCAGCCAACCCTCCCGCGAAAGCCCCGCCGATACAACGACTCGATTCCTTCCTGTTACGACCCGCAACGGTAGCCGAAAGAGCCAGGCCTTTCGCGTTCAAGGCTCCGTGGTTCACTGCTGCAGCTGCTACGCTCAAGACACTGTTGTTGCAGGCCTGCCCTTCAGCCACCGCCTCTTTCCTCGCCGCCATCGCGACCGCTTTCGGGCCGTCTTTCGTTTGTCGGCGCGACTTCACCTGCTGCAGCACCAAGTCTTCTTCTGCTCCGGCGAACGTCGTTGTGCGGTGGCCAGCGCCTGCTCTTCTAACGTTCCACAGCCCCTGTCCTCTAACATTGGCTGTTATGAGTTTTCTGGCTTCTTCACTTTCGGCATCTGGCCTCTCTGAACTCCTGCGACTTCCGCTGCACCTCTCCCCGACTCTGTTGTCCGGGCCAACCGCGCGCCCTGATTGGCGAAAGGCTTCTGCCGTCTCTTCCCCCGCGTTTTTCTTTGGCACGTGCTCCGAGACCACGGGACAGGGTGAGTCGGCTCCGGGCTGCATTGGTGTAGAAGGAGCAGAAGCGTCGGCTGTAGTTGTCGGTCTTCTTCGACGAGATGGTTGAACTCCTTCCGCTATGCGTCCCAGTAGCACGTCGAGACCGCTGCTTGGAGGCGACAGGAGAGGGCGATCATAACAAGGATGAGTGCATGGGCTTTTTGAATCCCACAACAACAGGAAGAGTATGGATGTCAGAAGGTGCTGATCTGAGAGGATAGAGAGATCGGACCGGTTCTATGTAGTGCAAACACAAACGGCAATGTTGGAACCCACTAAGGGCGTCTTTGTCGACCCACGGCAGCTGGAGGTAGGTGTATGTTCTCTGGTCACCATAACGGAGTGCACCAGAAAGCCGAGAGATCAACCAGTCCTTCCATGGCGAGCGAAGCACTTTAGCACGAAAAGGGCAGTACTACATACACAGAGGAACTCCAATTCTACTGCCGGTGCAACCATAATGACTGATAGATTATGCAAAGTATTCGTTGGCCCGCACCACCGTAGTCTGTGCGCGGTCTCTGCACCACACCGTATTTTCTTGTACAACTAGTCTACAGCAGTAGCTCACTCGGGAAGCCGAAGCTCAACCTCGCGAAGAACAGATTCGGCGTAGCAGCGACCGTTATTGGAACTGTTGTCCTGCTCTCGGGCCGTTTCGTTCTTCGGGGGCTGTGGTGTTCCTAGGGCCTCATGGTCCTCACGGGCATCCATCTGCGGCGGAAGGGGGCCACCTTGCCGACATTCCTGTAGCTCTTGCAACGCGGCATCGACCTTGGCCATGTCACGCCGGACCGCCGCTCGCTCCGCCTCCGTCGCTCCCAGGTCTCCCACCTTCCGTCGTAGAAGATGCTTCATTCGTACGAGCGTGTCGCGCTTCCACTGGAGCTCCTCGCCCAAGTTTCTCTCCGGTGGTTGGCCGCTCAAACCGCTGCTGGGGTTGCCGGGCGGGCCGCACGCGGTGCATTGTTTATCCGCGATCAAGCCAACGGCCGGTTCGTGGATTGGATTTTGATGGCGGCTCCCGAGAACCCCGTCGCTATCTTCCGAGCGAGCGAACACCGCTGCCGGCTCGCTCTCTGTCGAGAACTCCCAGAGAAGGATCCGCTGCCGAGCGAGAGCAGCCAGGATTCTTTTTTTCGACAGCTGCAGTCTTGCCGACGTTGCTGCTGCATGATGATCCTCCCCAAACAAGTCGTTTACGGCGACCGCGACGCCCTCGAGCTCTTTCGCGATGTAGCTGTGAAGAACTGTCAGCTCGGCGAGCAGATCCATCGCAGACCCCCTTACCTTGCGGTCCATAGACTGTGTTGGTGTAGAGAGCGATATTTTAGATGCCGGGCCGTCGTGGCCGTGGCAGCCGTGGCAGGGCCTGGGGCGCGCGGCGCCGACGATGTGCCGATCTTCGCACCGTATTGTCTCCCGGTTGCACATGGCCGCGCGAACCTTTTGGACACCCTTCCCTGGTTTACCTGTCTGCTGGCCCCCTCCCATTCGTTCGTTGTCGTTCGTTCGGCAGATCCACACACAGCACAGACCACAGCTCCCCGTTATCATGTCCCTGCAGAGGCTTTCTTACGAGACTATAAGAGACACAAGTGGCCCATACGATGGTGCTGCTACTCCTGCCGATGGATCTCCTTGTTTAATTAGGTGAGAGAGTGAGCAACGCACACGCCGAGTTGAACATCGATTTATCGATTTGTCCCCATCATCATCCACGAACGAACCGAATCTACTTGTATTCAAAGCTGCAGACTTCCGTTTGGTATGCAAACATGCAAGATCTGTAGACAAGTTGGCTATCACCCGTGACACACACTACTTCAGCTACTGTTGTCGGAGTTTGCTGCGCACACACGGCGAGAGGGACCATGCCGTCATATGCATGTTGTTGTGGAGGATCACACCTGATCACACCTACCTGAACGTGGTCGTTTTGAAGTGTTTCCTACCGCTGATGATGCCGCGACGTAGTTGATGGTTGTATTTGTACAAAATGCATACAGTGTACTCCAAAAGGTTCTTTGTTAGCGTAAGTTGCACTTTTTGGGCCGCGAGTACGCACCAGGCTCTCGGCCTCTCGAAGGACGAGACGAGACAGGGTGAACACTATCCGGTTAGGGTACAGGTAGAGGTAGGACATGCAGAGGGAGCGGGAGGCAGCTTGTCATCTGAACGCGGATCAGCAGCGCCTCCCACTGGCTCTATTTTCTGCAATACAATACGCCGCAAGGGATATCTGTCTGCGACCCAGCAGGCCATCTGACCCGTCAAGATTTACGTGAGATATTTCATAGTCATCATCACACAAGTCGCATAAAAAAATGTGCATCTATGAAAGCAATTCCAGATAGTATGCGCCCATGTAAAATGGCGGCGTTTATTACGTTATTTACATACTTTGAAGTGTTGACACGATGTGTGTCCCGGAGGAGGGAGGTGATATGATAGTGTCCGATTGGCCAAGCTGAGGTTGATTTTTTGGGTGATTCCAACGGCGGTTAGCGTGGGAACGCGGGGATCTGAATCATGTACAGTACTTGGTACGAAACACGAAAAACATATGAACGTAAGTGAGTGGTCTAAGGTAGAAAAGTCGAAATGAGCACCTTTAATCTGTACATGCCGGTACCCGTAGCTCGACCAATGGGTGCGGCATGACTACAGGTTGTACGTCAGGATACCGGTAGGACTTGGTCTTTTCAGCTGTGTTGCTGGGAGCTACCTTCCACAAAGAACGGCACAACCAGGTTTTGACATGGACTCAGTCGTGTTCTCGCGCATGCGCCACATACATACGTCGAGGAGTCAAGAAGCAAAAAACAACAACCATTGGCACTCATCGACGCTCGCTCGCGGGCTCTTTCCCATGATGCTGTATCCAGAGCGAAGCCGAGAACGGCGGTGGCGGTAACGTTGGCAACGGCTGCAGTAGCAACCCTTAGCGGCCTTGCACTCGTTCAGGTGTTCGGCGCAGGCTCCGACGTTGCTGCTGCTGCCGCTGGAAGCGCGTCAACTGGGTGGCAGGAACGGCAGGTGATTGGCTGGTGATACAGTACCCGTATTCCTTGGCGATGGGGTTGCTCTACCGACCGGCCTGTTGAAAGCTGCGGTTTTCCATTCTCTACGCCTGCCTAGCCTCTGTATTCCAAGCGCCATACCGGTAGAGCGGGTGCCATATACTTACGTTTATTCTCGATACATTCCAACCACGATAGGGGCATGCACGAGTTTGGCTGCCTACCGTAGCTTGCTTGACAGCTCATACCACGGACGGTGGTGCTTGGGTCCGTTGAATTATGTTTCAGTCGGGTTTTTTTGCTCACGATGACAACAAAGGCATCTACTGCAGCGGGGATGTTCTTCTCTACGATCCTGGATCATATCTCGTCAGTGGAGCATAGGCAAGACCGCTACGGTAGGTGGCTACTGCGGGTGACCGCTTTGGGTGGGATTGTTGATGGATGCCAAAAAAGGTCAAGGTATGTATCTTCGGTGGTGCGGCTAGTTCGTGCGCGTGGCCCGTAGCGTAGCCTGGGCATTCAGCAACACCTCCTGCTCGGTAGGGTACAGACAGCATACAGCGCCCTTCCCTCGCCCTTCCACGGTGGTCCGCCCCAAGGCACACAACATCGCGTCACCCACAGCTTACACGACCCCCCCAACGAGATCAAAAATGCATCCGTGGGGGCACTAATAGTATCAAGAGATGCACCTGGAACCCGAAACGAGAACACGGTCAAGTCTTTCTGTGTGTGTATTTATTTTTCCTCATCATGGTAGGAAATAACACCCACTCCAAGACGTGGGTGGTCAAGCTCAAGCAGTCCCGCCCTTCCGCCCGCCGCCTTGATGCTTGCGTCTCGGCCCTCGTCAACCACTGTACCCCCCGCGCGTGGTTCGTTCCCGACCCCAATCAGCCACTGGCGGGCCCAACCCTGACGGCCTTCTCGGAGAACCTCAAGTCTCCGGAGAACCGGTTCTCCAAGGACGGCGAGCTCCGAACCACCCTGCGCATCGCGCCCACCGTCGCGAAGGCAGGCCCGCTGGCGCCGCCCCTCAACGTCCGGGCCTACGAGGGGTCGGTACCGGGGCCCACGCTCAGGGTCAAGCCCGGCGACAGGCTGGTGGTGAGCCTTGTGAACGATTTGGAGTCCCCCGAGGGGGACCCTGAGGCGGGCGGGGGGGGGGGGGGGGGGGGG